TGTGGTGGGCTTCCAGTGCCATGTGCTTAGGGCAAGGGCTGGAGGCACAGCATTCCTGCTTTGCCCTAAGTTTTCAGCTGTCCCTTCGTGCCTGGCACATGGAGGGGACCTCTCCACATGCCTGCCTCCTCCCTACACCCCCCACCCCGTGACTGCTGTTTCTCCTGCAGCTGTACCAGCCAGGCTGAGTGGGAGCCAGGAGGGCTCCATTGTCCTAGTCTAAGGTCAGTCTTGAGTGGGCCCTATGTGCCCGGGTCTTAGAGGGTGAGGCTTTCTCCCTTCCTGCCACTCTTCCCTGCAATGGCCAGACTTCACTCTGTAGTTGGGGTGGGTCTATGTGAGCTTTCCCTGCCCTCCCTGTGGTCACGCTCTGATTCCTGTCCCCTATTCCGTGGGGGTAGTTTTCCGCTGCCCTTCCCCATCTACTAGGTGAGTCTCAGGTGCTGGACGTGGGAACAGCACCTCCCCCTGCACCCTCCACGGACCCTCTCCCCACCTCAGCTGAGCTGTTGGAGGGAGGGCTCTTTGAGGAGCGGCTGCTCTGCTCATGGCTGTATACGTCTTCGAGAAAAGAACTTGGAAATACATGAAGATAAACCAGGGACAAGCTGCATGAGGAAAGCATGATTTATTTGGGTCACACAGGGCTGGTTCCCGCTGGAGGCAGAGGACCCCGGAAACTAGGCCTCCCACAGGGCATATGCTGGGTCACAGAGGGATCCGGGTCATCCTGCCGCATCCTTGCCATGGGCTTCTGAGGGTCTGCTGGGCACGTTCTTCATCTGCATGTGCAGAACCCAGAGGCTGCTGAAGACTTGCCCCAGGAGGGGCGCAGGTGTGGCCCCTGTGCCCTGGGAGCAGCTGGTGGGGGGATCCTGGTCAGAAGCAGGACGGGGTGCTACAGGAGATGGGTCTGTAGAGCAGGGTGGGGCGGGAGGGCTGGCAGCCCCCGGAGGACTGGGAGGAGGAGGCCATGAACACGAGGGGCTTGAAGCTCACGGGCACACACACAGAAGACTGGCAGGAGGGGACAACGTACACGGCGGGCTTGCAGCTCACGGACATGGCGGGCCTGCAGCTCACGGGCACAGACACGGTGGGCTGGCAGCTCACGGGCACGTAGCAGGACGTCTGGCAGGAGCTGGGGGTGCAGGAG